ACATCTCATTCACATGCCCTTGAATTTATTAGCCTGATAAAAAATGAGTTTGAGATGAGTATGGTAGGGGAACTGAATATGTTTCTTGGTCTTCGAATTAAACAAATGGAAAATGACATGTTTGTTTCTCAATCAAAGTATGCTAGAAACATGTTGAAAAGAATTTGTCTAGAGAATGCAAAGCATGCTAGAACCCCTATGATTGCTACCCTTAAACTATCCAAAGATGAACATGGTAAAAGGGTAGACAATAAGATGTACCGAAGCATGATAGGAAGTCTTCTTTACTTGACTGCAAGCCGATCTGATATTTGTTTTAGTGTTGGTGTTTGTGCTAGGTTTCAAACTAACCCTTATAAGTTGCAATTGAATGCAGTGAAAAGAATCATGAAATATGTTTAAGGTACATGTGATTTTGGTATTTGGTAGTCATTTGATTCTAACAATTGCTTTATTGGATATAGTGATGTGGATTGGGCAGGAAGCTTGGATGATCGAAAGAGTGCTTTGGGTGGATGCTTTTATCTTGGAAACAACCTTGTCACATGGTATAGCAAGAAGTGAAATGCAATCTCCTTATCCATTATCAAGGCTGAGTACATTGCTGTAGGTAGTTGTTGCACTCAAATTTTATGGTTAAAGAAAATGTTGAATGATTATGGTGTTGATCAAGATTATGTGACAATTTTTTGTGATAATACGAGTGCCATTAACATCTCTAGGAATCTAGTCCAACATTCTAGGACCAAACACATTTACATAAGACATCATTTTATTAGAAAGTTAGTTGAGGAGAACATCATTGCACTTGATCATGTGAACACAAAATCCCAATTGACTGATTTATTTACAAAAGCACTTGACTATGATACTTTTGTTTTCTTGAGGAAATCCATTGGACTACTTCAACTTGAATAGTTTTTCATTTTTGTTGATGAATAAAGCACGAATATGCTACTTTTATTTTTGTTAGACAAGTCCCTTGATCTGTGCTAGCACTCTAATTGTCATTTATTTTCTCTTATCTGTGTGCTAACTCTGGTATGTTATGTCCACTGAGACTCTCTCTATAACATGACCTTATCTTATAATCAGTTGATTATCCATTCTTGTCACCATTATGAAAGAGCTACCTTGCCTGAAATGTGAAAGTTATTTTGAGTAATTTTGTAATTTTTAGAGACCCTTATATCTTGGAAAATCTATCATTAAAAGGACTACCTTCTTGCAAGTGTGAAAGCTAATTTTAGTTACGTTTATGAGAGTTATTTGCCCTTTGATCAAAATGAAAAGAAAAATCTTTATTTCCTATGCTGAAAAAGAAAAATGAAAAATATAGTAGGGCATGAGCGTAGGGGAAATTTCTCTTGTAAAATATTAATTGACCAATGTGTCATTTAACCCCCTTGAGGATACTATCACACACTTAGACAAGCTCTTGGAACTTTATCTCACTTGTGTGTGATTAACGAAGTGTTGTTTTGATTTCATTATGTTGACAACTTCCTTATGAGCTTAATTTTGTACCCTTTTCAGATTGAAAATTTGATCTATTAGGATGATTTGCACAAATTGACTGTCCTGACCTTCAAAAATTCATGTGAAGCATTTCATAATTTTAATTATATATATATAAATATATAAATTGTTCAATAAAGTCTAGTTTTTTGAAAATTTCTAATGTTCTTTTCGGATGTTGTATGCTCATATGATTGCCTATGTGCATTCACTTAGGATGGAGTTCTATTTTTAGTATTACTCTCTTTAGGGCATCAGAATCATCTCCTGCCATAAATGCTAGCCCTAATCTTTTCACGTCAGTTTTCACATTTTAAACCCTATTGCGTCGCCTGTGTTCTTTGTTCTTCACGATTTTCTCTCAAATTTTTTTCTTGTTTCTCTCACATGGATTCACAAAAGAAAGTGATTGAGAACCCAAAAAGAAATGCCATGGAGGAATCACTCAAAAAAAGATTTCAAGACTTGAAGAAATTCAGCAAGAAAAAGGCGATGAAAGAGAAAACACCATCAGAGTCTAATTCTGCCACACTAGAGGAGTCCTCTGAGGAAGAAAACAACTATTTAACCTCACCTGTCTCTTCCCTTATTTCCAGTGATAACTAGGACTTTGTGCACTCATCAGAGGAGTCTGGGGCCTCACTTGAAAAGTCACCAGAAAAATCCCCTTCGACGTCCTATAGTGCCTCAAACAACACTCCAATGACCACTCTCAAATCACACAAGGGTGCTTCTGCAAAAGTTGCTCCATCAAAGCCCTTGACTCCAACAGAGATGGAGAAGAAGGGAAAGGCAATCATGAAAGAACCTTCATCTTGTAACATCTCTCCATTTGTTTTGTCGAGGTTAGATTTAAGAGCCACATTGTCAAAAAGACAATTGTGAGCGAGATAAATGTTAGGTTAGAGGATTTTGCTGAATTTCATGCCATGATGAAGAAAAGAAAATGGCTAGGTATTGTCATGGATCTAACTGCACCCATTCAAACTCTTGTTCAAGAGTTTTACACCAACTTTGGCTTAGACAATGTTGAACCAAACTCTAATGTGCATAATGATAGAGTTCATGTTAGAGGACATTGGGTTCTGTTCCATGAAGATGTTGTTAGGAATGCTCTAGGTCTGAAAAAGAGTAAGAAGAATTTTGCTTTGACTAGTTTAGATTTAGACCAAATTGTCAAGGTGATAACTGGTGGTTCGATTGCAAAATGGCCTAGAAGTGGAGTTCTTCAACCTGGTGCACTCACACCTTTTTATAGGCTATTGTTTAAGATTTCATTAACCAATTGGTCTCATTCCATTCGTAATTCCACTGTTAGACCAGAAAGGGCACAACTCTTGTATGGGATTGCACAAGGGAAGAAAATCAATTTAGCTGCAATGATCTTCACTAGTGTTAGGGTGGCAGCATAATCCACCCACTCTCTCCAGATTTACCCTTTCCTTCCTTGATTTACAAAATCATTTCCACTTACAAGCTAAAATTTTATGAAGTGGAACCCTTATTAAAGATAAAGAGTGTCACCAAGAGGTCTTTTAGATAACCTTCAGGGAATTGTCTTCTACCTTATTGGGTGAACAATCTAGGACTAACACTTGGCAATCCAAGCTTTTTGTTGCTATGTAGGATTTGGAGACTTCCATGGAGACTGTTCTCCAATATGTGAAGGAAATTCATATTTCCTTCAATGCTCGAATGGACAAATTGGAGGCTGATTTGAAGATCCTCTATTCTAACTGAGCATGTTGATCAGAATGAGGTGCCTCCTATTGCTCCCGTTGTTCCTATTGCCCCTGCTGCTCTTGCCGTGCTTGCTGAGGATCCTACAACTGTCATTCAAGAAGAACATGCTATTCATGAAGAAGAGGAAGAGGCTGCTTATGAAGAAGAGGAAGAAGCTGCTCATAAGGAAGGGAAAGAAGTTGCTCATGAGGAAGGGAAAGAAGCTGCTCATGAAGAAGAAGAAGAACTTGAAGATGTAGCTGCTCAAGACAAAGCAAAACATTCTGTAGAGAAGGATGTTTCCCATATGAGCATTGACAATGTCCCTCCATCGCCTATCAAAGAGAACACCCTACCAGTCCAAGATGAAGCAGCTGACGCCTCCTCTACTATTGCTCCAAACGTTCAAGTGGAGGATTCTCATGTCACCATTACTGCTCCTACCAAGAAGAGAGTGAAGAGGAAAGCTCTTTTCATATCACTACCCTTTCAGAAATCTTCAAGACTTATGAACAAAGATGGGGAGTAAGCATTATAGGGGAGTAGTGAAAGTTAATTTTTTTTTTTAAAACTTTGAACTGCTTTACTATTGTCTCTCCATGGGGGAGTTTGATATTTGATATTTGTTTTTTTTTGTTTGTGTTATGTTTATGCAGAACTTATTTAATTAGTTTTATCTTGATGTTTTATTAATTAACCTTGTGTTCATATTTGTGTTATTTTTGTTTGTATGTTTGTTCTTGCAAATCGGCAGGTTTGATTGGTTGATTCAAATAGGTTTGCTCTTGATCTCTTTTATGTTCTTTGTTCATAAGTTTGAAAAAGGGGGAGAATGTGGAATATTCATATTTGTCAAACTTATGAGTTATGTGTGCACACTGGTTGCCAATCTTATGATTTGGCTTGTTTCCTTTGTTGTGTATGTGCACATCTTTCTGCGTGCACACTGGTTGCCAGACTTGCGTATTGACTTGTTTCGTTTCGATCGTGTGTGGACAACAGTTTGTGCTTACACTCTCGCTTTAGATATTTGCAACCCAACATGAGTTGCATGTCTAATAAACTGAAAAAAATATTATTTATCTTTGTCTCTTACTTTTTAGGACATTTTTACATGTGTCATAGTACCCATAAGTGGTCTTAGGGAATAAATTTTCTTTTCCCGATTTGCTTTGTGGTCCAAACCAAAAGAAGGAATACTTCCCTTATTTGGATAAACATGGGTCAACTCCTTGTTGGCTGATGTGACACTAATGTGTTGAGCAAGAAACGTACACTGTATATCATCTCATCTTACGTCTTTGAATCTAACATTTTGATCTTTTATTTTTATTATACTTTGAATTTTCTTAGAGTATACTTTCTCTTAAGGTTCATATGTTCATTTCCATTTTGTGCCAAAACCTCACCATATCAAATATAGACTTGAGGCTCTTCGAACATGATTCTTTTGCTGATGTTGGTGCGTGGCGTCGATGTTTGAAGCTTGGTGGTTCACAAGTTGTTCTCGGGTGTGTTGAAGAAGATCTAAGGAGTTGCTACAGGTTCAGGTTTTAGAGTGTGATGCTAAGTGTAAAGTTGAATAGGGAGTTCTTTTTACTGTATCTTTGATCAACTTTGAACTATATCTTGTAATGTGTTTTTTACTTAGTGGATTGCTTTGATCTGGACAAGATCCCATGGATGTAGGCTAAAAGTGGATTTAGCTGAACTATATATATGTCTGTGTTATTTATTTTCCGCACTTGTGTTTGATGTGGTTAAATTGAAAATGTCTTAAACAACTTGATAATATTTCTGTTACACTTAAAATGGGTAACCATACACTAAAGTGATCAGTTAACCAACAACTCTGTCCCCAACAGACTATATATAATACTAAATATAATACTAAATCTTGCGTAAGATCATGTGAGCACCATGTTGTGGTTGTATAGTTACACCACGAGCTGGGGCATGAACATATGTTGGAGAAAGTTGAAAAGAGAAATTCTGCACAATCATTGTTAAAGCTAGTTTTGCTTCTAGTAATGCAAAGTTTTGTCCAATGCATATTCTAGGACCCCAACCAAATGGGAAGAATGGGACTTGATCATTCTTTGATGCCTTTGAAACACCCTGGGAAAATCTATCAGGATTGAAGTCCTTTGCATCCGCTCCCCAATATTCTTCATCCTGATGAACTAGAATCATTGGTAATGCAATTAAAACTCCAGATGGTATTTTCATTTCCCCCAATTTGAACTCCTTCATAGTTGCTCGGGTAAACAAAGCTCCTGGTGGATATAACCTCAGTGCCTCGTGGATAATTTTGTTTACCTGAAACACATATGTTCCAGGGAATTAATTAAATAATGTGAAGGAGTAGTCTTAAAACATTAAATTCTCAAGTAAAATATAACTTTATAAGGGATATGTTTACTTACTTCTTTCAAGCGGTTTAACTCATCAAATTGCGGTTCTTTGTTCCCGAAAACTTGGAAAACTTCTTCTCTTGCTCGTTCTTGCCAATTTTGATGCATACACAACAAAATCATCGTCCATACAATCAAACTTGCAGTAGTCTCTTGTCCAGCAAGATAAAAAAGTTTGCATTCCTCAATCACCTCTTCAATACTCATTCCACTTTCTTTATTCCCATGCTCTTGAATTTCTCTATGATTTGATTCCACTAATAAACCCAATAAATCATCACTACTTGCTTCTCCAACTTTCAGTGCCTCCTCTCTTTTCTTTATGATGCCTCTTATCAATTCTATAATTTCTATGTTATTACTTTTCAATTTTCTATTGGCTTGAGTGGGCAAAAACCTGAGAAGAGACAAATTTATATCATAAGTGCAAGCATGAAATGTACTGAGTAACATTTATTAGAAAACAGATTTAAAACCATTTATAAACTTCTATAAAGGAATTGAGAAAAAAATTTAAGATGCTTTTACAATAAAAATACTACTGAGTTGTTTGATTTTTTATCAATTTTATGTAAATACTTTCTAATTGCATTGAGCGTTTTTTTCATTTTTGGAATTTATTTATCATAAAATTCAACAAAGTAAATATAAAACGACCCCATGTTAGTTTAATTACCTCCATCCAGGGATGTGGAAGAAGTAGAAAACTTGAATCAAAAGGTTAATTTGTTCCGTTATGAGTTCGAATATTTTTCTTCCGTCTTTAAAACTACTACCAAATGCTGTCTGAGAAATCACATCTGCTGTTAAAGTCTTAATGTCAGGCCATATGTCTAACTCACGAGATTCTTCATTTGCGATTGTGCTCTTCCACTTGCTTATCATCTCATTGCAACTCAAATACATTTTAGGTAACATATTCTACAAAGAGAAAGAAATAGAAGGACCATGTGAGAGTTATCTCAATATAAGAGTGCATGAATTTTAGATTCAGTCGAAAACATATGCATACAGCATACATACACACTACTAAAGAGAAATTCTTAATATTTACAGTCGTATTTCAAATTTTTTACCAAATAATATGTTTAATATTAAATGTAACAACAGTATATGATAAATCATATCGGCTGATATATCACAAGCTTAAAGCAAGAAAGTAACGTTACAACTACAATCTTAAAATATATTATTAAATCAGTCTTTGGGTAAAATAAAATAATAAAAGCATGAGATTGCATATCTTTGAATGGGACCCACATAATTATATTATTATGTTTGATAAGATTATTTCATGAGTATTGGAGGATAGAAAGAAGAAAAACCTTCAACTTGTCTAGATGGAAAGCTGGGTTGGCTATCTTTCTGACTCTGAACCATTGTTCACCCTCATACATCACCATCCCGCTGAATACCAATTTGCTAAGTGGGCTCCTCTTGGGTTTTTGAAATATGTCACACCTTAACATTATTTCTCTTATCAATTTGGGGTCCGTGATGTTTATGCTTGGTGTTGGGCCTAACCATATGAACGAATTCTTTCCTGCATTCACCGTAAGGCCCAAGTATTAGTTATAATTAAACAAGAAAAGTTATTGATTTTTTAGTTAGTACTAAATATAGAAGGATAAAGTAGTAGATTAGCTATAAACATCCTATAATCAAATAATAAATTATCAAAGTTTTATTATTATTTTGTTAATTAAGAAACTTCAAATCTCATTATCTTTAACTTAAAAGTACTGATAGAAGATGACTTTATACAATGTCACTATCTTGTGCGTTTGCATCAGCACATGCATCATCAACTCCCAGAATTTTCCTTCATGTCTTGTGCGTTTGACTTAGAAATTAGTATTACATATCATCTTTTAGACAATTAGATGATCATTTATAAATGATTATTAATAATATATAACATTTCTTGTTGTTAAGTTTGATAATAGAATCTTTATAAGAATTTGATTCAAAACTTGGTTATTTATTTTATATTTATTAGTAGCCCATAACGTTATAACAACGGGAAAACACTGTGTGCTTCTATTATTTTTTAATTATTATTATCAAAACCTTGGTCAAATAAAGATGTTTTAAGATAGTGATGCATTTGTTCTAATAGTAGACAAGAATAAGATAAGAAGATGGCACCGCCTTACTGCTACAGAGATTGACTCACCAATAGACACAGTGTTCTTATCTTATCCATGTTTTCCGATAAGCACAACCATATCTAGCTAAAGACGAAAGTAAGAGATCGAAGACTATGCTACAACACATCATGGCCATTAATTAATTATAAAGTCTCAAAAGAAAGGAGATAGCATACCGTAGTTCGTGATGATACGATGGTGGAATGGAATGATTCGCTGCGCAATATCGTGGGAGACGGGGCTGATGGGTCTAATTTTTGCTTGTTTTGACACCATGTACATCTCTTTTGTGTCACCGTGAAGAAGTTTGTATGAGTTGCCAGAGAAACCTTGTTGTCTCAGCAACATCTCCAGCTTCTTCGGCTTCAACCAAATCCAATCCAGAAGAGACCATACAGAAGCTAAAAGGGCCGCAAAAACAAAGGAGAATACGATGGATGTAACCGATATCTCCATTTTCAAGAAGGAAGGGAGAGGAGAGAAGAGAGATATGTGAAAATAGGTGCCGTATGGAGATGCGTTGCCAGTTTTATACTCAACATTCAACAAGAGAGTTCATTTTTGTTTGAAATTAATGGCTAATTAAAAAATAAACAAGGTTTTTTTTTTTTTTTTTTTTTAATAAGCAATAAAAATGTGAACGGATTAATTTCGAACAAATCCACTACACTTGGTAGTTAGTAGAAAGATTCTCTTTCATAATATTAAACATAGGACAGTTTATTAGTAAAATGTAGAAAATTATATTTATATTAAATATTTTATTATAACTTAGGAAACCTTTAAGAAGCGCGGGTACGACCAAATTACAATTAGAGTGTGTTCGGTTGGAGGTTAACCTCTGTTATTTTAGTAATGTCATTTTATATTATTGGCATTATTATGTTTGATTGTTCAGTATAAAATATTTTAGTAATTTTTCAATACCAATAGTAATAATTATTAGGGTAAGTTTGGATTGGAGGCATATAAGATAATATAAGTAATCTTCATTTATTTTACAAGATTCCAGTGTTTGGTTTGTAAGTAATAAAATATTATGGGAATCTTTATTGTAAATAGTGTTTATTATTGGTAATGTGAGGAGTAATCCGATACCCTCCCCCACCCCTAGGATTAAAACATTATCAAGTAATCTGATTTTTATACCTATTTTGTTCTCAATTAAATACTATTTTGGACACAATTGTCATTAAATGTCTACCAAATAACAACTAGCCCAGTTTCCCTACATTTGAGAAATTGGCTAAAACATCCTAGCCACAAAAAAGTTTAAAAATTGACAAAACACCCCCAACCACCCAAGACCAGCACCGACTGTTACTCACCCTCGTCAACCGTCAACGTCAGTTGTTGCAGTGGCGCATGATCGGTATGATCTGGCCAGTCTTGTGTTGGTAAGGCCTTTTCTAGCCATGGATCACATGTCCATAATCGGAAACGATCATCTCATAGCTATAGATCTGGCCATGCAACGGCCATGGATTTGTGATCCATGGTCGGAAATGACTTTTTTGTTGCACGATCAGCCATATGCGGCCAGTCATGCACCATTTTGTCGATTGTCGGCAGCGATCGACGGTGGTGGTTGGCTATCGGTAGTGGCTTGGGGTGGGTGGAGGTGATTTTGCTATAAATTAAGTTTTATATGGTTGGAGTATTTCAGCAAAATTTCAAATGTAGGGAGTTAAAAGAAATTATGCAAAAAATAATAATGTATTAATATTTAAAAATGAGGGCAATTTAGTAATCTATATAACATATCCACCAATTTATCCTCCCAACCAAACATATTATTCACAAATTTATTCGAACCAACCAAACACATTTTCTAAACATTCTCAGTAATCTTCAAAGTGATTTATTTTTCCGTTAATATAACATATCCCGATCCAAACATCCACTTAGTTATATAGGTGGTAATATGAATACCACAATTTTATTAGGTATTTTAAGATTACTTGGTAATCTTAATTTTGTTACAATTTTACTCCTAATTAATAAAATAATTAGATAGTAATGCACTTGTTTTGTAAACAATTTACATGAATCACTGCCTTTACAATTTTACCCTTAAGCAATAAAATTTTTGGACAATAATACCCTTGTTTTGAAAACAATTTACATGAACCCTCCAGTGGCTTCGGTGGATGGGGTGTTTTTTGTTAAAATTTAAATTTTATATTGTGTCTGGGGTGTTTTAACAAAATCTCAAAGGGAGTTAATAATAATAATAATAATAATATTAAAAGGGAAGGACAATTACATATCCACCAATTTATTCCTCCCAACCAAACATATCAATATGACATACCTACTAATTTATTTTTCTTATGGGTATGACCACTTTATTTTTCTTAGATACTTATTTAGAGAATAATTAAATAATTGCATCATTTTGATAAAACTACTAAATAGAGTAATTAAAAAGGTATTTGTTGTTGAAAAAATATTTTTTAAATTACGTTTATAATTTTTTTCCATGTTAGTTAAGTATTAAGTTAAATTTATTAAAAAAGCATCCACTTAACGGTGAATTATTTTATAAACATAAAACTAAAGACAGTGGTCGTTGTGTGCGTGTCATGAACAGGGGTGTATATGAGCCAAGCCGAACCCCCTGATGTTCACAGATTGGTTCATGAATTTGGAGTGATCTTGATCTCGATCTTGAGCCTTGCAAGCATTGAAAATTCAGGCTCGAGATCGAGCTCGTTCGAGTTTGATAAGATCGAGATCGGCTCGAGCTCGGCTTGCATACCTAGCGAGCTTGAGTTCAAATTGTAACGTCATGACATATGCCAACCAGGAAATCAGTTTTGAAATTGGGTTATATATGATATGCCAAAGCTTGCTCAAGATAAATTCACAACAAAATCTAATATAAACGTCAGATGCAGATACCAAAATGAAAAATTCCCACAATCAAATTTGAGATGCTTGAGCAGCATTTGCAGCATCTCATTGTTTGTTTACTTCTAAACTTCCAAGCATGGCGACGTTTACATCGAATTGAAGTTTTACTTCTACAAGCATGGTAAATTCCTTGTAGAAGTAAAGCATTTGGTTCTTGATATAAACAAACTCCAGACTCAGAAGCTTGCTTGCTTTCTTCTTGGCTGCCTAAGTAAAACCCCCTTCTCCTTTTGCTTGAATGCCCCGGAACTTCGTCTATGCATGATAATTTAAGCTTGATTTCTTCTTTGCCTAGACTTGAATGATACCTTCATTGAAATCTTTAAGGTTCGCCTGTAATAAGACAGCATCAGAACACACTTAAATTGGTACCGCTCTTTGTGTGTCATTGGCAGCACAATGGCCTCAACAAGTTCTTGGATCTGTCCCAAACCAGATTAAAGTAGAAGGCATAAGATATATGGTGTTAACGAACACCACTGATTGTTCATAATAAGCACATGTTAGAAACTAACCTGCTTCTCCAGTCCTCCAAGTCCAATGTCGTTATAATCTTCAGTTGGTTTCTCATCAACTTCCATTGCCTTCGCACTGGAATCATATTCGGATGGCAGTGAAACAAATAGGGTGGAGTTAGTACATTTAAAGCTTTACAAACCTTTGTAGTTTTGATTGGAAATAAAAGATCTTCAATAACTTGAAGAATCCTCTAACTGTATCCAGCACAAGATGAAAAGAGAGAGCCAAACAAAATTGGGCTTTTCGGTGATATCTGTCCTCCTAAAAATTAGGTTAAAATGAGATTATAAACATATTTACATACTTGGACCATTTTGTAATTTTGAAGTTGTTATTAACTTCTTAATAAAATTTCATTATAGCTAGTTTGTCCTTAAAACAATTTAAATTTAAAAGTCAATCCTTGGTTTAAACTATTTTATAACCAAAGCATTTAACTTTTACTAAATCCCATACATATATATATATATATATATATATATTCAATCAAATCCATTAAATCCATTAAATATATATATTGACCCATTATTGAATCCAATTCAATAACGACCAAATGACCTTATTAACCTTAGTAAGTGCTAGATTTCCATGGATAATTATTTCCCACCAATACATTAATTCGGATGCATACGTTTATGTCCGAACATCATTAACCTTTAATGATATGTACTATCCTCTCTTCTCATACTTGTTTTTTTTTAGGTGTGACTATTTAGGTTCACTGTAACCTAGCCGTAGGCTCAATATCGTATTCCGATATGTTTCGTCATGACATTTTATGATCAAAACTCCTACCGATCATGGTAGGCATCTAGCAATGCTCCATAACCCCTAAGCCACAATGAAGATAAACTCCAATGAAACTTTCTCCGATTGTATTTTTCGTATAGTCAAATCCCTCTATTGTCTAATCCTGATTAAGAATGGGTTCATGGTATGTCAAAACCCTTAACTTAATTTTTAATCGAATCGTCAATCAATACAATGGAACGTGTCATCATGAAACCCTTTTCATATGATAGTCTTCATACTCTGGCCAAAGATTTCCCTTTTCTAATGTTTATTGACATTCGTCTGGAAACTCGGGACCAAACCATTTCGAGTCGATGAATCCCGTCTTGACTAGCACTTGTCCTCGCACATGAATAACAAATGACCAAATTGGCCTCTTATAGAAGACATGACTAGTGTCATGTTTATACACCATATGAACAATATGCATCTCATGTCGGATCCAACCATGATGTCTCGGGTCTAAGGATCAATGGTACACTAGTACGACCATATGATGTATCATTGACCACCTTCTAAATGTCTGTATGATTTATCGTAATCGGTCATATTTGATAAACAGTTCACTAACTATTTGTCCGCGCTAAAGCCCTAGTGACATAACTCTTATAATCACCCACGTTAATACCATCACATGATATTCAATGGAGAGATTCAGCATGCCTACTATGCAATGTTATTGCCCAATTAACATTACTTACGTAGGGAATGCTTCGACGATTTGATCTTCTAAAGATCTGTATCATCCGGACATTTCACATGCATTATAAATAGTATCAATGAAGCAGTATACGTACATGTGAAATCAGAACTTTTTCTTCCATTCTTAAAAGAATATTTACAAGATATAATGCCATACACGATTGGTTCCTAGGGCATACACTAACAGGCAGTGTTTCTAGGATCAAGTAACTATCTTTATTGACCCTAACTAAATCACCGAGTTTCAACTTATCTGGGTCAACAAGCCCAACTACTGGAATGAAGATGGTCTGCATTCAAGATTAAATAATAATTTTTGATAATGACATATTAACTAGTTGCTTACAAGAGTAAACACACACACACACCATATGTAAAAAATTGTGTCTTACATGACGAGTAAATGTTTTTAACACTACACATTTACCCTTCCTTTGTGAATCAAGATCAATATTGGCACCGTCTTCCTCGGCCTCATCTTCTGGATTTTCACCCTCCCACACAGCCAACCTACAACAACCCTATACAATAGCCACCCTTCTACACATCCATAACCCACAACAGCCTTGCACAACAAAGAAAAACCTGCATAGAAAACTAGCAACCTAACAAACCATCCCAAACAACCATCCACAC